TTATATATCAATTGTTTTGGAGCAAAATATATAAACAGATTAAAGGAAATTTAAGGAAGTTTAAGGTCCAACTTTTGAAATATAGATTGTATATCAATTGTTTTGGTGCAAACTAATTAAAGAAGGAGTAAGTGAAATTTATTCTAACTTCATGTTTTGAAGAAATATTATATATTATATATCAATTGTTTTGGAGCAAAACATATAAACAGATTAAAGGAAATTTAAGGAAGTTTAAGGTCCAACTTTTGAAATATAGATTGTATATCAATTGTTTTGGTGCAAACTAATAAAAGAAGGAGTAAGTGAAATTTATTCTAACTTCATGTTTTGAAGAAATATTATATATCAATTGTTTTGGAGCAAAATATATAAACAGATTAAAGAAAATTTGTTTAACGTCCAACTTTGGATTGTATATCAATTGTTGTGGTGCAAACTAATTAAAGAAAAAATAAATAAAATTTGTTTTAAGTTCAAATTTTGAAAAACAGATTAAATATCATTTTTTTTATTGCAGAAGAGTGAAATATTAAAAGAAATTTGTTTGAGGTTCAACTTTTCAAATATAGATTGTATATCAATTGTTTTGGTGCAAACTAATTAAAGAAGGAGTAAGTGAAATTTATTCTAACTTCATGTTTTGAAGAAATATTATATATTATATATCAATTGTTTTGGAGCAAAATATATAAACAGATTAAAGGAAATTTAAGGAAGTTTAAGGTCCAACTTTTGAAATATAGATTGTATATCAATTGTTTCGGTGCAAATTAATTAAAGAAAAAATAAATGAAATTTGTTTTAAGTTCAAGTTTTGAAAAATAGATTAAATATCATTTGTTTTAGTGCAAAAGAATGAAATATTAAAAAAAATTAGTTTGAGGTTCAACTTTTCAAATATAGATTGTATATCAATTGTTTTGGTGCAAACTAATTAAAGAAGGAGTAAGTGAAATTTATTCTAACTTCATGTTTTGAAGAAATTTTATATATCAATTGTTTTGGAGCAAAATATATAAACAGATTAAAGGAAATTTAAGGAAGTTTAAGGTCCAACTTTTGAAATATAGATTGTTTCGGTGCAAATTAATTAAAGAAAAAATAAATGAAATTTGTTTTAAGTTCAAGTTTTGAAAAATAGATTAAATATCATTTGTTTTAGTGCAGAAGAATGAAATATTAAAGGAAATTTGTTTGAGGTTCAACTTTTCAAATGTAGATTGTATATCAATTATTTTGGTGCAAACTAATTAAAGAAGGAGTAAGTGAAATTTATTCTAACTTCATGTTTTGAAGAAATATTATATATTATATATCAATTGTTTTGGAGCAAAATATATAAACAGATTAAAGGAAATTTAAGGAAGTTTAAGGTCCAACTTTTGAAATATAGATTGTATATCAATTGTTTTGGTGCAAATTAATTAAAGAAAAAATAAATGAAATTTGTTTTAAGTTCAAGTTTTGAAAAATAGATTAAATATCATTTGTTTTAGTGTAGAAGAATGAAATATTAAAGGAAATTAGTTTGAGGTTCAACTTTTCAAATATAGATTGTATATCAATTGTTTTGGTGCAAACTAATTAAAGAAGGAGTAAGTGAAATTTATTCTAACTTCATGTTTTGAAGAAATATTATATATTATATATCAATTGTTTTGGAGCAAAATATATAAACAGATTAAAGGAAATTTAAGGAAGTTTAAGGTCCAACTTTTGAAATATAGATTGTATATCAATTGTTTTGGTGCAAACTAATTAAAGAAGGAGTAAGTGAAATTTATTCTAACTTCATGTTTTGAAGAAATATTATATATTATATATCAATTGTTTTGGAGCAAAACATATAAACAGATTAAAGGAAATTTAAGGAAGTTTAAGGTCCAACTTTTGAAATATAGATTGTATATCAATTGTTTTGGTGCAAACTAATAAAAGAAGGAGTAAGTGAAATTTATTCTAACTTCATGTTTTGAAGAAATATTATATATCAATTGTTTTGGAGCAAAATATATAAACAGATTAAAGAAAATTTGTTTGACGTTCAACTTTGGATTGTATATCAATTGTTGTGGTGCAAATTAATTAAAGAAAAAATAAATGAAATTTTTTTTAAGGTCATGTTTTGAAGAATAGATTAAATATAATTTGTTTTAGTGTAGAAGAATGAAATATTAAAGGAAATTTGTTTGAGGTTCGACTTTTCAAATATAGATTGTATATCAATTGTTTTGGTGCAAACTAATTAAAGAAGGAGTAAGTGAAATTTATTCTAACTTCATGTTTTGAAGAAATATTATATATTATATATCAATTGTTTTGGAGCAAAATATATAAACAGATTAAAGGAAATTTAAGGAAGTTTAAGGTCCAACTTTTGAAATATAGATTGTATATCAATTGTTTTGGTGCAAATTAATTAAAGAAAAAATAAATGAAATTTGTTTTAAGTTCAAGCTTTGAAAAATAGATTAAATATCATTTGTTTTAGTGTAAAAGAATGAAATATTAAAGGAAATTAGTTTGAGGTTCAACTTTTCAAATATAGATTGTATATCAATTGTTTTAGTGCAAACTAATTAAAGAAGGAGTAAGTGAAATTTATTCTAACTTCATGTTTTGAAGAAATATTATATATCCATTGTTTTGGAGCAAAATATATAAACAGATTAAAGGAAATTTAAGGAAGTTTAAGGTCCAACTTTTGAAATATAGATTGTATATCAATTGTTTTGGTGCAAATAAATTAAAGAAAAAATAAATGAAATTTTTTTTTGTTTCAAGTACAAGTTTTGACGAATAGATTTTATCAAGTGTTTTAGTGCTGACGAATTAAGTGGTTGAGAAAAATCACGTAAAATTTAAGTTACTGAAAGGAATTTATATATCATTTGTTTTAGTGCTGAAGAATGAAATATGAAACATAATTTTTTGAGAATCAAGTTTTGAAACATTGATTGTGGAAGAGACATTTTGAACGAACTCTGAATATAGTACATGGCGAACCGATGAATTTGTAATACGAAGGAGGCTTAACCCTATTTGGGCAATAAGCATCAGTGCTGTATCAGTGGAAGAAATCAAGAAAGCTTTCGTATTACTGAAGAATTGTAAAGGAGCAGGATACGATGGACTTCGTCCAGAATATTTTAAAGTATTCGCTGCGATATGGCTAGAGTCCTCCAGCATTGCTGCTAATAGTAATGAAAATCTTCAACAAAATTATTTTGGAGTGAATAGCTATGATCTATATAGTACTATATGTAGCTCCCATTCTGACTCAAGAGAGATTACATATGACAATCATATGAATACCGCCAAAAATGGTCAGAATCCTCAAAAATAGCTACGATAGAATAAGATTCAGAGTTTTATAAAATGGTGAACTTAGCGATAGTTTTCAATCAATAAGTTGATTATGTCAGGTTTGTGCATTATCATCTTTAGTGATTATCACTGTTCTCGGCACGATTTGAGGCACTAAATGAAAACGCACGTGACATTAATTGCAGATTTAACCAAAATTTGAGTCCTTTAGAGTACGCTGATGACATAGTGCTCATTGCCGGCAGGATCTCCGATATGCAAGCAAGTATTACGAATCTAAGTAATGAATTGAGTAAAGCCAGCCTGAACATTAACATAATGAAGACTAAAACAACGCGCATAAATACAGCAATCAGAATAGCCCATTTGTGAACAATAATGTCTTAGAGAAAGTCCAGAGGCACGAGAATTGCTGCAGTGTTGTTGGTACTGATGGTGGAGCCATCATGGACATTGAATACCGTCTACGAAAGGAAAAAAGCATATTTGCGCAACTTAAGAAAGTATGGGTATCAAGTGCAATAAGTTTTAAGACTTAGTTAAATATTTTTAATGCAAGCGTCAAAACGACTCTCTTATACAGCTGCCAGAAATAGTTTACCACCAAAACAAATATTAAGAAAATATAAGCGTTTATAAACAGAAGTTTGAGGCACATTACGCACATTACGGTGGCCAGCAACTATCTCGAGTTCAGAGTTATGGAGAAATGTAGAACAACTTTCAGTGGAAGAAGAAATCAAAATGCGTAAATATTGATGGCTAGGCAACACGCTTAGGGGCCCAATCAATAATATCTCTCATGCTGTACTGGAGTACAATCCACATGGCCAACGTATGAGAGGTCGTCCTAAATTAACATAGAAGAGAACGATTGCGAGCGAAACGAACAAAACGATAAATAAATTTTGTAAATATACTAAGTTTGTGCTTCACTCTATGTAAATTACAAATATACTATAATAATTTCAAATTAACCAAAGAACTGATTTAAAATGTATGATCAGGATTTGAACAGCTTTGTAAATAATACAGTTTCTATGACTAAAATTTATTTCGAATAATAGTATTATTTAATTATCTTTTGATACCGAAAAAAACACTCCATGCCATGAATTACTTTTATTTTCTTTATATATAATGGAATTGTTAGCCAGACGACTCCACATACTCATGACATATAAGAATACATATTTACAATTTTACAATTTAGGTTTAAACTTTAACGTACCTATTATGTAAAACTTTTAGCACATTCGCTAAATTCCAATTCGTAATATTAAATCCACTTTCTGTTACATTCCACCCACCAATTTTCCAAAGAAGATCAGTTAGAGGTTTCGCGCCCAATTTCTCCATATGTTCATCTTTATCCAAACAAGACTCGTAATATACTTTCGCTTTCCTTTCTGCATCTGATTTAAAATATTTTAAAGGTTTCTCTAGCTCATTTCGTATGACCAATTGATTTATTTGTTCTAATTTACTGAATGTACCCCATGTCGACTTTCCTTCTGGTATCGGATTGGTATTGATCCATTGATTACTATTTAATAAAAACAAAATGGTGATTATGACATAGAAAATAAAAATAAAACAAAATTAACATACCACGCATAGGCGTAAAAATCTTCACATGGATTTATAGATATATCTATCGATTTTAATATTTCGTTCGCCGCAAATATACAGTGATCGCTTAAACATGGCAGTCTATCTGGATAAAATACACAATTTTAATGCATTACTCATGTAAATACATAGCCACAATATAATTTGAAGCATTTATATTCAAGTATTAGATAAACTAAAAAAGCATAGTTCTAAATTATGAGGGTTTTATTTAATTATGAACAGTATAGAAATTTGTTCCACTCCTTATTCGTATTTTCACTATAGCATGTATATACTTTGTATCAGTGACGACTGCTCTAAGGTGCGGAGGTGTGCGGTGAACACCCTAATATAATTTGCAAAATGTTAAATAACATAGGTATATAAATTTATTAAGTATCTTTACATCAAGAATTATTATTATTTATTACATTTCCATATAAATATATATTTTCAAAGTTTTAGCAAAAACAATTAAATATAATTGTCTATGAAAACTCAATTAATTTGCTTCTGTTAGCCGCTATACTTGTTAGTTGTGCTCATATATTTGCAGCTCAAATCACAGAACATTTCTATTATATTTCGTCTCTCCCCTTTGTGTGCTAAGAAGTTGGCCGCACATTCATACGTTACATATGAACAAAATAATGTGCGTGTGCTCCCGTTCGTAATATCAGAAATAGAGATTTATATAGTGGGAATTGTATGAGAATAATTTTCTGTTCTATTCGAATATCAACTGTATGCATACGAATCCAACATGATGATTTGCCAAAGTGGTTGCATGAGCGGCTGAAGTTTGCAGCTCATCTCACCATACATTTCTATCACATTTCGTCTCTCCCCTTTTAACAGCAGCACCCACGAATTTCTGTTCTTATTGTGCGGGGTACTTGTGCGCACATTGCAAGTGGTTTCGATTTTGTTTGATCACTGCACAAACATGTATGTTTCTAAGTACAAACTCTTTTGTTTGAAAAAATTTGGTTTGATGTTACGAGAATTATGTGAAAAGTTTGGTTTCTTCCATATTGATATAATATTAAACTTGTATATAAATTATTAATTTAATTTGTTTAATATGTTATTTTGTTAATGAATTGTAATTATAATATTGCGCGAATATATTGTTGCCTTATATAATATAGTTATTATTAATAAAAGATCTCATATATTTTAATATAAGTGGTACATGTAAAAACAACATTAAAGAAGGGCCGCACACCCTTCCAAATAGGGCACGCGTCGTCACTGCTTTGTATATATATAATTCTATAAATGCATATTAAGGTGCATATAAAATATCCTTGAATGGCTAACGTACAATGTTGTGAATATACCTTTTTTATTCCCATCATTGACATTAGCCATATCCAAGCAGCCAGACTGCTGCAACATGAAACCTCACTTTAGTGAGATAATAAAGTGTATACATGCTCCTCTGCTGTGTTAGTGCTTGCCGGCGTACTAACACAATTATGTAGTTGCTAGTTTTTAGCGCGGTGCAGACTATCATACTGGTATATCATACGAGAGAGAAAAACGTCATATGACACACAGGTATGATAGTCTGCACCTCTTACCAACATGTTGGCGGGCTCACCAAATGCGAGAGCAGCTCTCGCATACGTGTTGTGTATGATAGTCTGTCACCTCTAACGATTCATACGTCATACAAAAGCATTTTTGCTTTGCAAAATTATTGTAAGCAGGCGATATACATATGTAAAATTTTAATATAAATTTAATACGTTCTTTTATTATTTTATTATTAATGTATTTATTATTATTATTTATTATTATTAAAATTACACTTATAAATTTGTGTTAAATATTTAATTGTATTTTAATTAAAAAAAATATAAAAATTAAAATACAATTAAATATTTTATTTAATTTATTAAATATTGTATTTAATTTTATTTTAATTTATAAACGATGATTGTAAGTAATTTGTTATTTAAAAAAACATCTAAATTAGTTAGTAATTAAAAAACGTGTAGAAAATTGGCCGTAGTAATAATTAATTAATAACCTAAATTTAAGATACAATACTCTGTATTTTAAATATGCTTTTCTCTGTTAAAACTTATTAAAATAAAAGAATTTTAAATGAAGACAATGAAGATTTGTACATTAGGGTGCCACTAAGGTGTATGGGCAATTTTTTTTCGTAAAAACGGTTGACGGCACCCCCCAGATCGGTTCATTTTACTTAAAAAATAATCTGTGTGAAATTTTAGTTCAATTGGATAAGTGAAAATGGTGCCCCAAGAGCCTCAAAGATTGGAAAATAACGATTTTTTCCATAAAATTCATCTTTAATTGCTTATATCTCCGACAGATTTAATTTTACAACTATGGTATCGCAGCTAGTTGATGTAGTCTTTGGCCCCTCAAAAACGCCTGCCTTTCGTACATCGTATCGTCCGTTGCTTTTGGTTTTTGTTACTTCGTATGGACCCAAATATTCATTTATTAATGTTTTACCTGGAATAAATTGAGTACGTTTAATGGCGACCAAGTCGCCTGCTTTATATATCCGCTCTTCTTTCCGCTTTCTATCAAATGTTTTTTTATATTCTGCTTGGACCTCTTCAATTTGTTGTTTCGCATGTTGTCGGAGTATATTGCGTTCTTCGTCATATTCTTGAATCAATTCATCCTCTATTGCTTGTTTTATGGAGTTGTACCCGCTGTTCTTTCGCATTTTTATACCAAAAAGGATATCAAACGGTGAATATCTCGTAGTTCGATGAATTACATTATTAATAGCGCTTTGCACGTCTCCCACAAAACGATACCATTGATGAGGAGACTCCCATGATAATTTAGAAATAACGTTGATAATTGTTGACCCTTTCAATTTGGCCGTTACCCCTTGGAACGCCTGTTGTTGTTAGGATATGTTTGATCTGCGCTGCTTTACAAAATTCTACAAACGCATTTGATGTAAACGCGGCGCCCTTATCGCTCACAATGCGAGTTGGATTTCCAAATATTTTAGTCAACAATTCAAGTTTTGTTATTACTTCCTCAGCCCCAGTAGACCTTGTCGGATAAAGCCACACAAACTTGCTAAAGCCATCGACCATTGCGAAAATATATTTATATTTCTTTGACGTAGCATCCATCGGTCCTAGGTGATCTACATGTAACGTACATAATGGAGTATCGCCTTTATCAATCGTATGTAGTAATCCCTCTAGCTTACCCTGCTTTTTGTTGTACAAAATACATTTGACACAGTTTTTGATTAATTTATCAACTTTTTGCTCTAGATGCGAAATATAAAATTGCTGCTTGATTTGGTATGCCGTTTTCATAACTCCAAAATGACCTTGGTCATGAGAAGTTTTTATCACCTCTCTTTCCATCAGTCGTGGAATCACCAATAAAGTTTGTCCCTCTGTTTCCTTGAACAACACGTTGCCAATCATCTTGTAGTCCATATATTGCTTTGTTCTCAAAATTTGTATTATAGCGCTGAGATGTTCATCGGTTTTTTGCGCTTTTTCAATCCTTAAACGCATTTCGCTTTTTTTATCGATCGTTAAAACTGCGTGTCTACTTAACGCGTCTACGTGTTTCATATGTGTACCACCTCGATGTTTAACTGTGAAATTAAAATCTTGCATGTACATTATGTATCTCGCAACTGATAGAATAATATCATTTTTTGACGTTGTGTATTTATATGCATTACAGTCTGTTATTAAAAGAAACTCAATGCCCAACAGATAATGTCGTAGTTTCTTCATCGCCAAAAATGCTGCTTTTGTTTCTAATACGTAACTATGGTATTTGGCTTCTGCAACTGTTGGTTTTTTGCTCCAAAAATACACTGGATGTAATTTTTTTTCAAATTCTTGCAAGAGTATAGCGCCAAATCCGTTCTTGGATGCATCCGTATGTAACTCCGTTCGATGATTTCTTGAAAAAATTCTAGCACCGGTTGATTAGTTAACGTTTGTTTCAACTGTTGTATCGTCCTTATCTCGTTTTCGCCTATAACGAATTTCACGTTTTTTTTCAATAGGTTCGTCAACGGTCTTACTATTATGGAGAAGCCTTTTACAAATTTTCGAAAAAAGCCAAAAAGTCCCAATAACGATTGAACTGCTCTTACATTTTTTGGCACTGGGAAATTTTTTACTGCTTTAATTTTCTCATCGCTTGGCTTTATGGTACCATCTTCAATAATTACGCCTAAAAATTGAACTCTTCTTTGCAGGAATTTGCATTTCTTCTAATTAATGCGTAAACCGTATTCTGCCGCAACTTCGAAAAATAAAGCCAACTTTCTCAAGTTTTCTTCCTTGGTTTTTGAGAAAATGATTATGTCATCCATGTAGACTGCTAGAATGCCACCTTTAATCAGCTGTCTTAAAATGCAATTTATGTACCGTATTAAATTTGCCGGTGAGTTGCAAAATCCAAAAGGTGCGAAATTGAACTCAAAGAAACCATCTTGAGTTATAAACGCTGTATATTTTCTACTACTTTCTTCAATTGGTACGTGCAAGAATGCACTTTCAATATCCAAGGTGCTAAATATAACCGCACCATCCAGCTTGTCCACCACAACTTCCATATTTGGTGTTGGGTATTGGTCTTTAAATGCCAACTTAT